TTAAAACCCAGTGAACATGTAAAATTGAGCATAGAACACATTATCTAAATGATGAAACCATGAATTTAAAACCTGCTGAATTTGCCTGAAATACTGAATCAGTGAAAATTAGTCATTTTACAGTATTTCAAAAGTAGCATCTGGTTCAAAGTTACACAACAACTAATACTATATTTTTAGTGTACTCAATTTTCTATCTGGAATTTCACAGTCCTCCTAGAATAAGTATTCAAACAGAATTCAGGGTATTTTAGTTGGTAGAAAATTGAACAATGCAAACTATTTCATTACATTTCAAGTATGAGTATAGAATGTCGTCAAGTTTTATAATCATAATCAGATACACGTATCCAAATGGCAGTCAAACTCAGGACAGTCACCTGATTTGTGACCAAGTAACACTTTGAGTTGATTATTGAATTACTTTACTGAACATTGTATTCAATCCTGATTATTAAAGTCACATCTTTTGTTCAAAAAGTTAGTGTTTACATGGTTATACACTGCTTTATTTGTTAGCTCTGCTGTTGACTTTGTCGAGCGGAGCTTATCATATGAGTAATTGTTCCTCAGCGTCCGTCGTTGTCCGTGTCAATGTTTTACTTTTTCGACTTCTTCTTGAAAACTACAAGCCTGAATGCTTTGATACTTGAGTAGGCCTCTCTTAGATTTGTTCATTTCATGATGATATCTTCAATTCTCTAATTTTGATGAATATTTTTGTCATTTTTGGTAAAATGTGATATTTTCGACTTCTTGTTAAAAAACGCAAGTGCAATTGCTTCGATATCACATATATAAGTACTACATGTGGACCTCTCTCAGATTTGTTCATTTTGTGATGATATCATCAATTACCGGGGTATCTAATTTTGAATATTTTTGAATTTTTGTTGATTGTAATGTGCATTGCTAACAGCGGAGCTATCTCAGCCGACAGTCTGCTTGTTTCATTTATTTTGACTCTTTGCTATGCAACTCATCAAAATTCTTAAATCAGTTTTTAATACATGAGCAATCACTGTGTTATTTTATGTAATATGTAAACAAAGTATTAATGTAACAAAATATCAAATAAAATTCCAAACGTCTCCAAAAGTTGGAGAAATTTAATTGTTAAATTTCTTAAGTGTTTTATTTCTAATTTTGTAGGTTGTACATTTCACATTTTCACATCTGAATTATCAAAACAATCTAAATCTGTGCACCTCAAGAACAAATTCCAGATTTATTTACACTGACCAGTTATGTGTGCATGCTCTCAACAACAACAATTAACCAAGAACTTAATTACAATTCAGCAACTCAAATGTTCAAATATTTTTAATTTAACGAATTTTTGTGCAAATATAAACAAGAATATTTAATGCTTGTACAGTATTTGATTTTTTCATTTACTGTATTTCATTTTTGTAGGTGTGATTGGTGCAATTGTTCCATGGAACTTTCCACTCATGTTACTTACATGGAAAGTAGGCCCAGCGTTAGCCATGGGTAACACAGTCGTTCTAAAACCAGCTACGTATACCAGATTGACAGCCTTATTGTTTGCGGAGATCTGTGCTGAGGCTGGACTTCCACCCGGTGTGTTCAACGTTGTCACTGGAGATGGAAGATTTGGAAGTAAATTAGCTACACATCCCAGTGTGGATAAGGTTGCATTTACCGGGTCAACACAGGTGAGTGAACAAGC